GATTTCTGAAGGATCACGTGACACTGAAGACTGGAGCAAATGCTGCTGAAAATTCAGCTTTGCCATCACTGGAATAAATTACATTTAAAAATATATGAATATAACATTTACGTTTACTGTTTTTACAAATGAATGCAGCCTTCGTGATCACAAGTCTTTTTTTCGAAAACATAAAAAATCTAACCAACCCTATTCATATCACAAATAGGAAAAAAAACAAAAAAAGTATGACCTTATCTATTTTACTATTCAAATCGTCTGCTTTTATTTCAGATTTAATTTAATTTAATAATTGAATTTATCAAAATGGAACTTAATATATTAATTAAAATCAATAACAGTTTTATTAGTGTTCTAAGTCAGTATTATGTTTGTTATAATATAATAACCTTTTGCAATTTTAACTTTTATACATATGGAAAGCATCTAATTCATATTGTTGCAGACACATCAAACACAACTGACCTGTGATTCCTCATTAACCTTTAACTTGTGAAATTCAATCCCCAAACACCACAGTATGGCCACAACCTGGAGTGAGTAAGATAAATGCTTCAGAAATACCAGCATGTTTGCCAACAGAATAAAGCAAGAAAATAACTAACAGTTAAATGGTTTAACTTCAAATCTATGGAAACATTTCATCTTGTAATGATTTGTTGGAAATGTCATGACGTCCAGCTTGTCTGCAGAGTTATTGAACACCCACTTCACACTACTTGCTTAGTTCCATTAGTCTCCCCTGACACCGTCTTGCATTTGATAGTGTGTCTGCTTTATCTCACGGCCTACAGAGCCCATGCTATTAAAGGCCCAGAATTCCTCTTATCTTTGTGAGGGCAGCTAAGGGCAGGAGCGTGGCGATATGACTCATTCTTATACTGAAGAAGGACTCCATTTAAGATTTTCAGATGGGATTGCTGCTAAATACGGTCTCTAATTGAGTCGTTTTGTATGTCCTGTTGCTGCATCCTGCCAGGTGTAGACAAATAATATCTAACATGCAGTACAATACAGGAAGGAATGGCTTTAAAGAACTTTTTTAACTTTTATCATCATTTACATGTAGGACTATTTCACTGTATAGTAGCCATGTACACACTGTACCAAAATTTGGTTGTCAATTCACAGGGGTGTGGACTCGAGTCACTTGACTCCAGACTCGACTCGGACTCGAGTCCCAAATTTGATGACTTGCGACTCGACTCGACATAATTAAAGAAGACTTGAGACTCGACTTAGACTTTGACAGCAAGGACTCGAGACTTGACTTGGACTTGAGCCCTGTGACTCGGAAAGACTTTATGATCAGATCAAAGTCATTATAGACGCGTCCCTGCAGCGTTGCGCTTGACTGGCAATAAACCAGAGACTGTGTTGATACACTCTAAAAAATGCTGGGTTGTTTCAACCCAAGGTTGGGTCAAATATGGACTAACCCAACTTTTGGGTTAAAAATTTAATGTAAAAATTTACCTGCTGTAATTATGAGTGAAACGTCACGTCATTATTGTGTATCAAACAGTGCCACCTTGAGGGAAAAATATGCATTGCACATATTGAGTCATCAGATATGTAAATATAGTTGCGCAGGAAAAAATACATACACATTTACATACCTCGGGTCTCTAGCGACCCTATACACTTTTTACAAAAAAAATATCAGAAAACTGTAATTTTATATTTTACTGTTTTTTTCTTGTAATATTGTTTATAATTAATAGATTGAGGAATACTAAGAAAGTTGATGTCTAACTAAAAAAAATGAAGGAGGGAGAGGGTAGAGAATGATGTCCCGGGTCTCTAAAGACCTGAGGTATGCATTTAAGGGTTAAGTTTAAAGTTAATCCATAATTGAGATTTAAATCTGAGTTTAAAGTTATGTGCAACAGGATGGATAACTTGACTCGAGACTTGAATGCAAAGACTCGAGACTTACTTGTGACTTGCAAAACAATGACTTGGTCCCACCTCTGTCAATTCACTTTGTAATCCGGTTCTGTACACACCCAGTTCAAGTTACAACTGAACTGAATTCTACAAACCCAAAGAACAAGCCCAAAAAATAAGCAGACATGACAACACTTTGAGAGCGTGCTCTGAGAAGCAGCTTAGTTAAGTGGCTTAGTTAAAATTGCCAAACATAAGTCTTTGGTTGCTGTAATTTTACTTTGGTCAAAAATAGTGGATACCAAAAATAGCAGTCTTCAGTTCGGTTGTAACTTGAAAACAATAATTTAGGGGATTCACTCCCATATTTAAATGCGATTGTCACTCCTGAAACTTTACAGTGTGTACGTGGCCACGTGGCTGACATTAGGGTTCTTCAAAACCATCTTTATAGAGCCACATTCCTAAATTAATTCCCTGGATCACTGAGTTTTCGCCCAAGCCAACAATGAGAAAGTAGTTCAGACATTTCCAGTGCATCATTGGGCGTACCCATGACCTGTTTGAGGAAGATGAACTGAGACGTGTGAGCTCGCTAAAAATATCTTTTTTGAGTCTGGTATTGATTTTGAGTCAGTTCAAAGCCAGCTGATGTGCAGACATGAGATGAAACATAGCACCCGTTTTATTGGTAGAATTCCCAAAAATATGTTCTTGTACGTTGTACATTTTACATTGAAAAGGGGTGATTAATTCTAGAAAAATGTCTTTGGTTACCTTTACTTACATTTTCCTACATTGCTTGTAATCCCTCAGGTGTAGATGGTGGTGCATATTAGATAAGCAACAGCTGTGACATTCAGCCCTTCCTGTAGCAGGACAGTCGAACAGCTGCACATATTGTTAATTATGAGCGCTTTTTGCTGACCTCCATTGAGCAATTTCCATGAAATTATGCTTTCTGCAGCACTTAGGGTTTTTTTTTTCTCAACAAAACACAAAAATCTGGCCAATAATGGTTTGTAGTATAGTTATATAGTCTTAATTAACAGTCTTAGTTAACTCAAAGGGTGCAATAACACACTGTGAGCCATGTAATCTCCTTAAGTTACTAGCTGTCATCTCTATGTACTGCTACAGTGTTGATTGTGCATTGTTGCTTAGCAACTTCAATTCCATGCATTGAGGAAAAATATCACAGCAAGGCTCTGTGAAAGTGAATGGGCCATTTTCAGTGGACCATCTCTTTCTACTTGCTGGAAAAAGTGCAATGGCTTGAGTGTTGCTGGATATTACTGCAAGACATGACAGACAGAGATATAGGAGAAAAAATATTGGGCTGATGAATTCTGCTTTAGCTCCTTGCTACCATCTTGTGGTATAATTATGCAATGTGGGTGTGGTGAATGGATACGCAAATAACACAAGTTTCTTCTCAAACAATAGCCTCAAACTCTATATCAAACATATTTGCTTTTTATTAATGTGTTAATATTATGTAATAATTATCGCAAGACAAACTTTGATGTTGGCTTGAGAAAGAAAATTAAATGCTTTTTGCATAAGATTAAAGTCAGTTAATGTTGACATGGTCACACACCCACTGCAAACAATAAAAGTTTACCGAATCTGCAAAATATGTACACCAGGCATTCATGCTGCAAACTGCAATGGGGGTCGTCTTTTTCAGTTTGTTTATTTTATTTATTTTTATTTAATAGTGACAGTGCTCATTACTCAACAGTAACATACTGTAAATAAGCCAGAGTTAGCCCCAATGGCTAATTTTCATATGTTGCCCCTTGCCAGACTTTAAAAAGGCAACTTAAAAATCTGAAACACAGTAAGTTATCACACATAAACATACAATAGCATTTACAATTACATACAATAACACTATTCAAGATAATAATGGCAGTATCATAAAAACAAAAATTACACATGATTACAAATACAGTTTGCTTTTAACCATTTCTTTAATTTATATTTAAATGTTAAAAAATGTTTTACTACTCCTTAATTCAGTTGGTAGAGTATTCCAATAGTTAATGGCTCTGACTGAAAAGACTGACCGTCCAAATGTTGTACGCCTAAACTGTACAGCAGTCTCCTCTAGTAATTGCTCTGCGTTATAAACTGGCATAATGGAGGAGGTGCATAACCATTTAAAATCTTAAAAATCAAGCAAACATCAACCAAAAATTATAGTTAATAAAGATAGTTATTAATATAGTTAATATATTATTAGTTAGTTAAAGTTATTATAGTTAAAGATAGTTAATAATAGTTAACAAATATCTACACATTCATAAGCCAAAATGCATTGACATGAGAAATAAATGATTTCTGAAATAAATAAATAAACGAGTTTATGCTCAAAACAAGAAAAACTAAATAAACTTAATTCAAGTGGGAAACAAGTTATTTTGCGTACCCCAAATTTTTTTTTTGTCGTTGTAAGCCTAAAATCGCTTGATTTTGATCAATCAGAAAACAAGACTTAATATCAATTGTATTCTCGTGTACATGTGTCTTGACTTAAGAATGTTTCGTTTTTTGTTTTTGTTTTTTGCAGTCCAGAGACGAATTGTAGAAATTGTGTTGTGAGCATACCTACCAATAACAATGTACCAAATATAAAACCAAACATAATATGCCTCCCTGAATCTAATGGTGAATGGGCAACTTTAACGAGATGTTTTTCAGTTAAACAGCACTGAAATGCTGGCTTCATTGTTTTCTTTTCTCTGTGTTTGAAGCTCTTCTTCGTTTTTCTCCATTCCGTACACATCCTGTTGTCACTAGGCAACCACGCGGTGAATCGGGCTACCTCAACAGATGTTTCTATTTTCTGCTCAAGTGAAGTTTAGGTAAAATCTCACATTCCAATTATTATTACTTTTTCCTGCTTAACCTACACTTCCCACTTCACGTGCCAAGCTTCAAGTGAACGAACAACCTTGGAGTTATTTTGAGTAAGTCCATGTTTCTGCCATTGTGCGTGTAGGCACCATGGGAAATGTATTTGCCTCGGCATTTGCACTAATAACAATAGAGCTGCAGTTATTTCTAGCCACCGACAGATGGGGCAGCCGCCGTGTGAACCGCGGAGAAGGAAAGAGTAGAGAAATAGATGGGAGGGTCAGGCCGCTGCCTCTCAGTTTCAAACATTCAGTGCATTTCAAACCTGTGCATGGACATAAACTGAACGGTGAAAGTAGGGTTTGTTTGCGGACTCCTCCCGTGTTAGACGGGTCATGCTGTCTTCGCGAAGGTAATGAGCCGCAAAGCCCTCGGGTCTCGGCTGAGCAGCGCCCACAAACTGCAGCGAAACTGGAATGACTGGCAGCCCAGGTCAGTAGCGCACCACACGGCCGAGCGCTCGCACAACAGACCGAGGCTTCAGCGAGGCCTTGCTCTCCTGCGCCTCTTTATGAAACACAGCAGCGGCCTATCTCCACGTGAGGAGACTTTTCTACGCATTCATCTCACATCACGTTGCACGATAATGAGGTTGAACTCTAGTCTTTGGGAATAGTTAAACCGACAGGTGTCACGCGCTCATGTTCATTTTTCAGGTTGGTTAGCAGATGTTAGCAAAAGCTAACTCACAAACAATCGGCGAAACTGGCGATATTTATCATGTTTGCGTTTGTTCGCTAGCTTTGGTTTGTAGACTGAGTAAAAATGTGAGTGTAACAGCGGGAATTTGTGTGTTTTGACAAACACGCGGATGTGTCGTGGCGTTCATTTGTGGTTTGTGAGGGGAAACGCGTGTGGTCGGACACGTTTAGCCACAAGCTGCATAGACTGGCAGCCCAGGTCAGTAGCGCACCACACGGCCGAGCGCTCGCACAACAGACCGAGGCTTCAGCGAGGCCTTGCTCTCCTGCGCCTCTTTATGAAACACAGCAGCGGCCTATCTCCACGTGAGGAGACTTTTCTACGCATTCATCTCACATCACGTCGCACGATAATGAGGTTGAACTCTAGTCTTTGGGAATAGTTAAACCGACAGGTGTCACGCGCTCATGTTCATTTTCCAGGTTGGTTAGCAGATGTTAGCAAAAGCTAACTCACAAACAATCGGCGAAACTGGCGATATTTATCATGTTTGCGTTTGTTCGCTAGCTTTGGTTTGTAGACTGAGTAAAAATGTGAGTGTAACAGCGGGAATTTGTGTGTTTTGACAAACACGCGGATGTGTCGTGGCGTTCATTTGTGGTTTGTGAGGGGAAACGCGTGTGGTCGGACACGTTTAGCCACAAGCTGCATAAGGTTAGTTTTTCAACATTTGCCATCAAGTTAGTAAGTCGATTTACGTTGTGTAATGTATATTGCAGACATACTGGATAATATTAGTCTCATACTGATTTAAGGCTTTTTGAACTCCTCCTGTGAAGCTCAAATAAATCTCGACGCTCATGTTCACTTTGCTAACCAGCTCCATTATTTTCGTTGTGCCACTGACTGAAGCGGATAGCCAATTTCAAACCTTATTATTTTATTTGTAATTTTAAACCGTTTTAATTTGGACGTTTTCATAGTTTAAACCGGACAAGCCAGGTGTCTTTGTTGATTTAATGGTTCACATTTTGAGTACTCATACTTTCTGCCATGTTAGAAAAGTTCTATTAATTTTTAATGTTTGGCAGGTGATGTAAATGATCAACGTTATATTTCTGTGAACTGTTCGAATTCAAACTGTAGTTTAATTAGGATTATTAAAGTTATAGTTCACTCAAAAAAGGAAGTTTAAGTCATGTCATTCAGTCAGTTCACATGTTCCAAACCTGTATGGCTTTCTTTCGTCATTGGAGCACAAAATGTACATTGTTTCAATGTTTTTGAAGAATATCCTAGCCCCATTTTTTCCAACATAATGAAAGTGAATGAGAATAGACGTCAGGTTCCAAATTGGCCCAAAAAAAAGTTGGTATCAATGATTTATTGATATCTGCATATCGACTCACTTCATTCGTATGAATGATGCTTTTGCAAAGTGGACTGATCCAATTTATTGTTTGCTGTTCCATAGAAGAAAGGCTTATGGATTTGGCATGACATGGTGGCAAATAAATGACAATGTGAGTTTTTGGTAACGTAATTTGGTAGATACCTGTTGATTTATTGTTCATTTAACTGGCAACTATCATGTTTGTTCAGGATCAATGTGTGTTCTTGTGTAGATGTTCCTTTTACATATGAATGGATATTCGAAAGTTTGAGGTCAGTAAAATATAAAAAATATATATATATTTCGCAAAATGCATTAAATTGATCAAAAGTGGCAGTGAAGTCTTAATGTCACACTTGTTTTTTTTTTCTTTTTCAAATCAGCATATTAGATGATTTCTGAAGAATCATGTGACACTGACAGCTGGAGTAATGATGCTAAAATTCAGCTTTGCCATCACAGTAAAAAAAAAAATTACATTTCAAATTATATTCAAATAAATTTAAAAAAAAACATTTTAAATTGTAATAATTTTTCACCATCTTATAGTTTTTACTGTATTTTTGATCAAAAAAATGTAGCCTTGCTAAGCAGAAGAGACTTCTTTCAAAAACATTTAAAATCTTACTGATACTGACTTTTGAAAGTGTTTGTAAACAAATTGTGGTGTTTGGTGTTTTATTCATATGGTGTCATCAAAGAGTAGATACCAACTCCTTTTTGTCCACTTGCACAATAAGTGGTCACCTCTGGTCAAGCTTTAGCATGCTGACATCAACGTGAACATGGACAGTTAAGTTGCTGTAGCCACTGATGGTATATCAAATGTTTTTCAGAGGCGACAGTCTGTCAGCCAGCCAGGACGGTGTGAAGAGCAGTGTCTCTAGATACCGTGGTTCAGAAGTTCTTTTCGACATTCTGCCCTCTGACCAGCCTGGCACCCCACCACTGCACAATGATGCCTTCACTGCTGCAGATGTACTCGAAGAAGGAGGTGTGTGCTTCATCTGGCCCTTTGTTTAGCCTGGCTTTAATCAGCTGGATTATATCCGCCAGTGTTTTTCAACATCAATACCAATACATTCTGCTGAGGGTTTGTTGATTATTTGTTTCCTCTTCTGTGTGTCACCCTGGTTAAGGTTTCTGTTTATAGAAAGAGAAAGAGAAAGTAATGTCAGAAAGGGTTTTTTTTTTGGGAAGGTCCCAGAGGTTCCTTGTGCGAATAAATCCCCATTTATTTATTTTTTATGAATATAATATATTTGTTCTATTGTTTGTTATTTGCTTTATTTTTAATAGAGAAAAATTAAATAACAAACAATAGTTACACCTAGATTATACCATATACGTTTCTTTTTGCCCTGCTTATAAAAATAGAACCTTACCTTAGTGACACAATGTTCTAACATGTAATTTATGCTTTAGTGTCTCTTGTGGTGTTTTTTTTTTCAGATTACAAATGTTAAGATTACAAATGACAGTATTCTTGCTTTCTAGGTGGATATGATGCTGATGGAGGCCTCTCTGAAAATACTTATGGTTGGAAGTCGCTGGGGCAAGAGTTGAGAATCAATGATGTGACTACTGATAAAACCACTTTTCAGCATGGAAACCGTGCTTTAGCTACAAAGGACATGAGGAAATCACAGGGTACATTCACCTTTCAGTGCTCATACATTGTTTGTTTGGAATGAATTGCCTTGGAGCTTAAGTGGGGCTGTTGAATTCATTTATTTACTAGCATCACTTTCTCTTTTATGTCCCAGACCGACCGTTGGCTCACTCCGAGGAGTCTCGTCTGGCCAATCTTCTGCGGAGAGCGTCACGAGAAGATGACCGGGAACGCAGACTGGCCACTATGAAACAAATGAGGGAGTTCATTGTGCACTCTGAAAATAAAGTGGTACGGTCTGACATGCTCAAATCGATTTTTATGTGTCTATAGAATTAAACTGTTTTTAATCTGTATTGTTTGCATTCATACATTACAGGTCCTAGTGAAACAGTTGGATTCCATTTTGAGCACCCTGAATGACATTTTGAACGAGAGGTATGACTGCACAGCCTATTTTTAACACAATGGGGGAGTTATCAGAATTCACTCCACTGAGGGTATATTTATTGTTCATGAAGTGTTATGAACACCTTACTGAGTCCTAGTCATAAACAATTTAACCAGCCATTATTACATTTTGCCATACCTGAAAAAAATTAGCCCGCTAGTATGGGAATTTTTTTAATTTTAAGACTGGGTGTTAGACACCCCACTCCACAGGATATGCCAATTGTGTAAGTTCTTTTTGTATGCTTTTGTACAGTTATGATTACAATATCTCCCTACACTTGTATTTTGAATGTGATTCATTGGCCAAAAAAAGAGAAAACGCACAATAAGCAAAGTTAAATATGAAATTGAATATGACTTTTCCTTAATTTCGAATAGATATTGCAATAATACATAGGCCTTGTCCCAAATGGCACCCTAAGCCTTTGCAGTCTTCCTCCAGGTCCACACTTTGTGACAATGCTACGTAATAATTATCAGGTAGAAGTTTACTTTGAAGCTCAGCTCAGTTTGGGCCAGGGCGCATAGTGGCTGCAAAGTGAGCACTCACAAGCACAGTTCTGAAACCTTAATGGATGCGCATGACGGGGCCATTGTAAGTTTATAAGACCACAAGTTCACATGAAGTGCCATTTGGGTCAGGGCCATTGTTATCCTGGATTATTTTGGCCATGATAATTGTGCAGTGAAAATCTGGCCTAATTTCAACTCAAATCGATATTTAATATCTATTTATTTATTTATATATATATATATATATGTAAAGTAGCCTTATAATAAGCAGGGTAGTGTACAGTCAACTGGTCATTATTGCATAACAAATCCATGCAGTACCTGATCACACGTTTCTGTGCGTTTCTGTTTGGCCTTACAGTAGTAAGCTCCTGCAGGAGCTCAGGCAGGAGGCCGCGTGCTGCCTGGGATTGCTCTGTGCCGCCCTCAGTTATGAAGCCGAGCGGATCTTCAAGTGGATGTTCCTCAAGTTCAGTGTGTCCACAAAGGATGAGGTGAAGCTTCTGTACCTGGTGGCAGTGCACAAGGCACTTGAAACGGCAGGGGAGAAGAAGGCTTTTTCATCTGTAATGCAGGTATTTATTCGGATCCATTGCTAAATCTTGGATTACCCTTCTGTATAATCTTTTTCTGTGGTTGAAATAGGCCTGGGCGATAAAACGGTATCGATATTTATCGACGGTACACCTTCAAAAACTATATAAAAATTGTTCGATATAGTGCACGATATAGGCACGTGCTATGAGTGACGCAGACAGCTCACACAAACACAAACACATGCTGTATTGAGTGCTGTGCCTGCCTGTGATGAGGAGATTGTGAATAAAAAAATTTATATTAGTCTAATTTAAAATAAACATTTGCGATACATCGTCGTATCGATATTTTGAACACAGCACTAGTGAAAACCGTAACCAAGCCATTCACACAGATGCATATTCAGCGCATTTTTAGACGGACAAATATGACTGCTGCACTCGCGTCTCACACAAGAGATGTAGACATGCAAAGTTAAAACAGTTTAAACTTTTAGAAATCACGTCGCAAATTTGTGGAGGTTTATTCTAGGCCTGGGCGATAAAACGGTATCGATATTTTTCGACGGTACACCTTCATCGATAACGGTATTAAAAATGTTCGATATAGGCACGTACTATGAGTGATGCAGACAGCTCACACAAACACGAACACTTGCTGTATTGAGTGCTGTGCCTGCCTGTGATGAGGAGATTGTGAATAAAAACATTAATATTAGTCGAATTTAAAATAAACATTTGCATTTGAATGTAAAAATGGTACAATCGAATGTTAGGAGTGCATCAGGGAGTGTCATCAGTGGCGCGCGAGATGCGGTGATGATGTAGGCTAGTGACGTTGTTGCATTTTAATGTTTTGTTAGTCTACCCCACGAGACGCGCCGCTGCTGTGTTATTCGTTCAAAATATTAGAGAAATATAGTAGCTCAATGCGTAGAAGATCTTGATTAGGTTAAAACCGAAAC